GAATAGCCATAATTGTATTACTGATTATCAGAAGGGGTTTCGTGAATATTTTAGTAATTTCAATAGTTGAAATGAAGAGTCGATTGAAATTAGATCACTATGGAAAACTTGGAAGCATTGGACGGCCGTTTCGTCCTAGTATGTGACTCCTCAGCCACGCGCGTCCACGTAGAGTTCAACCAGGTCTGTTGTGAGATATCCACTCACTGAAGACAATGGTGTATGGCGGCGCGATTTTGTGGATTAGCTGAAGTTAGGCATTAACACCGTTGGATGCCGGCCAGCTCAGTGGTCTAATGGTTAAGCGCTCGCACGCGAGACTGATAGACCCTGGATTCGAATCTCGCGGGGAGGCGGGATCGTAGATGCACACTGCTGAAGAGTCCCACACTAGGACGAAACAGCCGTCCAGTGTTTTCAGGTATTTCATGGTGGTCTAGCTTCAAATGACTCATGATTTCAACTATTGGAATTACTAATTAGCAACAACAAAACTATCACTGACTTTTTAACAATTGGTATGGTTGAAGGATTTCTCTGAACACACAAAACTAAATGATATTCATTACTGTTTGTTGAGACACAACAAACTATTGAACTGGTGACAACAATTCATCATTCAACTTTAATAGGAAAACAGTTGGGAAGAGATAGTTGGTTAGTAACAGCACAAACACTGTCATCAACAATCTGAGCCTATAACAATGAATAATTTCGTAATACTGATATGTATTAGTTAAAGACTGTCAACCTATATAGTCTTACTCAAAAACAGTAGGTGTATGAACATTAAACAGGCTGATTTTGACTTAATTAGCAGCACTGATATACCAACTTCCTTGACATAAGTTCTGACTATTGAATTAATCTATTCACGTTTTTGTACTATATAAAATGTTACATAGGTACCGATTCGATCATACTTCCCTTCCCCTCCAAAAGTTTTTTTCTTTGATAATACTCAGCTTAGAATAAGGTGCTTAAACATCTAATCAGTTTCTATGGTTGTTGAACCAAACACTTGAGAGTGTATCAAGTACAAAAATGATCAATTTGTTTAAAATAAACAAAGATAAATGTCAAAATAAAATCTAAAAGTGAAGAAGAAATTATACAGAAAGGCTCATTTTTGACAGGTAACATCCTGATAATTGTCCGGAAGAAATGACATAAGATTATTGATTGCTTCTTGATTCTTTGTAGTAATCGATTCAATTAACAAGTCTGTCGTGAAATTTGAATATTTTAACTTACATACGACGTATGGGATTGGTTAAATACTCTTTGGGTAATTTTAAAACTAAGACAAATCAACTCCTCACTGCGACCTCGGTTTTAAAAATTCTCCATCGTAATTTAATAGTTGAATTCATGAGTTAATTGAAACTAGACCACCATGGAAAACCTGGAAGCACTGAACGGCCGTTTCGTCCTAGTATGGGACTCTTCGGCAGTGCACATCCACGATTCCGCCCGTGGGATTCAAACCTAGAATCTATCGGTCTCATGGATTGGTTGAAGTTAAATATTAACATCATTGGATGTCAGCTCAGTGGTCCAGAGCTTAAGCGTTTGCGCGCAAGATCGATAGGTTTGAATCTCACTGGTGGGATCGTAAGGTACGCACTGCTGAGGAGTCCCATATTTGGACGAAAAGGTCGTTCAGTGCTTCAGGTTTCCCATGGTGATCTAGTTTCACTTGACTCATGAATTCAACTATTGAACTTTATACAGTTTATTTAGTATTAAATACGAATTATAAATCATTTCTAGACAAATGCGAGGAATAAATCGATTAAAAATGAATCTAAGTTTCTACGAAAGTATGCATAGTTTTATGTGAAAATAAAGTAATAATAGAAAAGACAAAACAGAAACAAAATAGTAATCACTTTTGATTTCTCCATTCGGTGGAATATAGATTAAATATGAATTGTTCTGATTGTAAACGGTAACTGATCAATAAATTCTATTCCGTTCCCATAAGCAGTTACTTGTATAACCTGTAAAATTTACTTTATAAGTGGTTTGAAAAGAAACTTAAAACTTGGCTAGGGATAAACTTTTCGTTTTTAAGTCATCTAAGTGTATCGTAATCAGTAATTGCGATCATGTTTTCGTTTATTTAGTCAATTGAATTATGTCTTTTGTTATGTTGTAATTTTTCTTTTATCTTGACTAACTGCGCTACGTTTAAACATCCGTATCGTGACGGAGTGGTATTTTCGTCTTAGAAGATTTCACATCTTTCATGTAAGCTATCAAAAACGACAGATGACGAAACACGACCTCTAGCAGAGATTATGATAGTTTAAATAATAATTTCCGTTTCATTTTGGTTAGTTGCCAGTTACGAAGTCAAAACTGCAAACGAGGGTGGAGTTTATCCATTAAGCAGCAAATTAGTCTAATAATGGTTAGTTTTTACAATCTGTAACAGTTAATTAATAAATTAAAATAACACAATTTGGATACTATTTTTGATTCTGAATCTTAATCGACACTAATAAGTCATAAATTAAGCCTTTACAGAGTCCTAGTATATATAATTCATGTTACCTGATATAAAAATTACCATTTAGACGATGATCTAGTTTTCATAGACCAGAAATTTCGCATAGTTTTCTTTTATATTGTATTGTAATACTTTTATTGAGATCCACTTTTAACTTAATAAAGATAAGTGATGTTCATAATTTAATGTCATAATCAAATTTATAGAATGAGTTACACTCCTTGTATATCTTCTGGTAAACCGAGACACCAATACATTAGAACCCATGGATGTAAGCAATGATATAGAAGCTCTACAATACCTTATCTAGCAGATATACTATGTGACGAACAGGTTGTTAGGGGTGACGTAGTCAATAACTTGTATTATTAAACATGTTCCTAATAAAGAGTTGTACAGATTCTAAACTGATTTTTAAAAAATTCATTTAATTCCAGGTATTTCATTAACTTAATTTATGCATGTATGTATACAGTAATCGTATTTTTTGTGTTGTTTTGTAAAAGAAACTTGTTGGAATACTTGCGCTGAGAATTTTATATCATACCAAACACGTAATGTTAAATAAAGCCATTAATGATGATAATGATTTTACTTAGAGTTTGAACAATTGAATCTCTTAATTTTAATTAAGGCTACTTCAATTTCTAAGTTACCTAGATAATTATTACTTTTCTCTATGTGACTGATTTGTGAATGTTAGTCTGTATGATTTCTTCCTTTCTTGTTTGCCAATAAATCATCAAAATGTTGTCGATATCACTCTTTGAGTAATTACTTTAAGATTAGGTAAGTTTTCTAGTCCCGTTAACTTAATTATTAGTATCCTAAAAAAATTTTTATCTTTTCGATTGGTGTTTTCACTGTTGCTTTCTGAAAATGTAGCCACATTATGATGATTCAGTCCATATCGTCAAATAACTAGGCCTTAGTATGATAAACGTTTGGTTCAACGATAAAAAGTCAAATTCCTCTAATAGTAATCCTTTATTATACTTGTTTGTGTGTCAGTTTTTCAGTGAAACGAAACAATCAAAGTTTATAACATCATGTTTTTCGAAAGTATGTTTATACTCTACGGTACAACCTATAATTATTTGAAGCAGTTTTGGGCAAATACTCTGTATAATCAAATGCAAATATTTCATTATTGGGAAAAAGAACTACTGTGCAATATTTAAAAGTAATGATAAACAGAATAACTTTAGTCAGTATATGCTCAAGTAGAACAAGGAATTTTGAACATAACATATAACGAATTGCATAACACTGCTTTTATCATAAAATTCATTTATAAAGATCTAGAATATGTATGACAGAACAGTATTTACAAGAATGACTAATTATCATTCGATCACTTCTAAACCAACTGTCTAGTTTTCATTCTATAATGTATGTGAAAGATGTGGTATTGTAGATCATTTGTATTGTTCTTTACATGTATGACTTACATCCCACTAAAATATATATTCGTTGGTTAAAACGAAAAGGAAATGAGAAAACCTATTTCAATAATTTTGTATTAAGAAAACAGATTGTTTAGAAATTAAATTAGATTGAGATATTGAAAGAAAATGTTTACAGGTATCTACTTGTAGTTGCAAATCAGAATAATTACTACTTCAAGCAAAAAATCAAAACTCTTCTTGTCTCACAATCACCATGCTCATATATATATATATATATATATATATATATATATATATATATATATATATATGAATACTCTGCTTATCCATGTTATAACTAGTTATCACTTCTACATTTTCATGAATAACTGAATATTAATCTTTACGTATTAATAATATGAATGTTATATTCATTAATCACATAGCTGTATTGGTTTTAATAAAAACATTATACTCATTTCATTCTAATTACTAATATTCACGTGAAGTTTCTCACTTTGAATGTGAATGGAAGAAGGAATAGAATTTTATGTAAATATTTATATTAGATGTATTTGAATGTACTATAAATTAAGGTTCCAAATATGTTTTCTTGACAATACAGATAAGTATTTAGAAAATAAAACTAAAGGATAGAACAGGTCAACATATATAATAAACATTAACAATAGACTCTTATAATGGTTCTTAATATACATATTTATTGCACTAAAATTTATAGATACCTTAAAATCACAACTACAGTTTTACATTTAAAAAGCAATGATTCATTATTTCTATTATTTTATCATTGAAATGATTAAGTTCATTGTTATTGTTAATTAATGTGTACAATGTTCATTTTAAACTGACTTAGATCAAATCATTATGAATATTGTAAAATTGTTAATAATTAGAGGCACATTGAATAAAAGCAAACACATAAACAAATAAATAAGAATTAATGAACATTTAAAGAGAGAAATGGTGGAGTAAATTAATGAAGACAATTTTCAGAATGAATAATAATCAAGTAATCATAAGTATTATTATTTTTTCTAAAAAAAAAGGAGGTTTTCACCATAGAAACAAAATATTTAATCTTCAACTAAACCAACTTTATAAGCGAATCGTCTAAATTTAGTTTTTACTTCTTCTTGCATTAAATTAAATGACATAGCAACCATAGATAAACCAAATAATAAATAGAAACAACAAAATACTGGTTTTGTAGAATTTTCTTGCCATTTATCTGTTTGTATACCGGGAACAAAATCACCAAATCCAATTGTTGACAATGTAATAAATACAAAATAACCTGATTGTAATAAATTCCAATTTTCCCATTTAGCAAATATAATTGCACCAACTATCATATAAATAAAAAATACTAATAATGTTAACCATATTGGTACATGTACTCCTTTATTTTTTCTTTCTTTTTTTTGTATACCTGATGAAATAATTGATTGTGAACTAGTTAATGTATGTAGAATAGATTGAGCTCGTTTTTCAAATCTTGCTGTATGATAATCATTTATAGTTAATCGATTAATGGATTCTTTTGATATCGATTTATTCGAATCAATATAATTATTGATTATTGATGTTTCATTATTTTCTTCTAAGGTATTATGTAATTTTTGTATTTTATTTTTACGATTATTTGGTAATGTTCTTTTTGTTAAATGTAATTGTTCATCTCTTGTTATTGGTAATATTGATTGAGTATGTTGTTGTCTAGTTAATTTCTTTTTAATACGATGTTGATGATATTTAAAACATGAATTTGAATAAATAATTCGTACAGTATTAGCTAAAAATCCACCAAGATTAGTTAAACATAAAAGTACTAATGGTATACCAAATAATGCATAAATTACAGTTATTGCTCGTCCAAGATCTGTTTTAGGTACAATATGTCCATAACCTGAAATAGAAAATAGAAATAATTAAAAGATATTATTTAGATCTAAAAGAATTACATTTTAAATTCTCGGAAAGAAAAGTCGGTTTAATGTTGTAGAAGAAAAATAAGCGAACGTTTTATCCAATTATAATGCTTCAGTTGATACTCTACATGACAGACTAATCTTAGTGAAACAACCATTATAAAGCCAGGAAGTATTGAACAGTTGTTTCATCTTGATATGAGACTCCTCAATAACAAGCATTCATACGTTAACTGCGAATCAAACCCAAGACATTTATGTATTGTGATAAGAGTTTAAACTTTATATTACGGAGCCAATATTCTCTGGTTTACATGTTCAACTTTAATCAGTTTACGATATTGTGCAACAATCATCCAACAACATTGTTGTTTAATTGACTAACACTAGACATGAATAAACTCCGTTAGTCAAGGCTTCTCATTAGAATTCAATGATGACATAGATTGAGATCATGAACCGATTGATGTTAGGCCACCTGGAAGCACTGGACGACCGTCTCGTCCTATTGTGGGACTCCTCAGCAGTGCGTATCCACGATCCGCTCGCGGGATTCCAACCCAGGGCCTTCGGTCTCGCGCGTGAACGCTTAACCTACTGGACCACTGAGCCGGTATCCAATGGTGTTAATGTCTAACCTCAACTAATCCACGAAGTTGCGCGACCATCTTTCATTGTACTGAGGTAGACACCTGTTTTTACCCGACACGGATTAGCTCCACTGGTCACGGCTTCCCACCAGAACTCCGAGAATTTTCTCACGAAGCAATTTACTAGTGAGCACATGATAATTATCAGTTTAGGGTTTTCAATGGTGGTTTAACATCAATCGATTCATGATCTCAACCAAAAAAACTTAACAATCTCTACAATTCTTTAAACTGATGATAACATTAATATTAGTACAAATGTTTTTGAACATACTTAAATTTGATAGTTTATTTCACGAACTAACCTGACTACTCTAGACCAAGTATTTTGTATGTTTAACTCAATAAAAATTATTATTTCTACTGATAAATATTTGTTTCTCAATGTATAAAGTACAACTGTGTTGTAAAAATTTACAAGTAAATTGTTATATTAGATTGTTAAATAATTTGGCGAGACTATAATTTATGGACGAAGCAATTAGATTTACGATAACAGATCTTGAATTTTGGCGCAAAATTCACTCATCCATTTGGTTAAATAGAGTTTTGGCATTATAAAGTCTCTTTGGCGTCACTGAATAGTCGTCCATAAATTATAGTCTCACCGATAATTTAAATAATTGCTTAGAGTATACTAAGCAATATGTTCCATTTAATGAAATAGTAAGGTAGCTTGTTTTAAATATCAACTTAATTTGTGGCCTATTGGCCACCTTTGTGACTGAATATTCACTACTGAATAATACTGTAGTGTGGTTTTAGATGATTACCCATAAGTTGAAAACTAAAACTAATCAGATCTCCCGAGTTCATTAAACTTTGAACCGTTTTTAAATGGTTTTAATTTATATAGATTTCTCAGTTGTAATATTGTCATTTATTGTCAGTTTGTAGGCAGATTTTCTAGTCCTAACGGTAAGACTTGATCTATGAAGTCTAACAAGTATTCAGTGAAGGAGAGAATCTACCAGGTGACAACAAAAAAAGAATCATTTTACAACAGATACCAATTTAGGTTGGAGGTATCAAACATTTCATACTACCTGAATAGGTTCTATAAAATATGAAACCATAGACAAGTAGTACCAAAACGTTTTGAAATAAAATCATCTGTCTAGTACCAATTTAAATTCCCGCTGGCAAAACACATTAATACCTCACTGGAATTTGAATTTCTTGGATTGTTCTATATGATTAATTATATTACTAATATATATTTAAGTTATTAGAGTGGGAGAAAACAGATAGACTTACATGAATGGAAGTAATTTAAAGGTATTATTGTTATTTGCTTTATGGAATGCGATAACTAACAAAGCTGGTAGACTAAGTTCTTACTATCCTAATGGTTTTGATAAATTTCTCTGGTATTTAGTGTAGTACATATTTTGAAATACTTCAAAGTTAATAGTCTACTACTGCCAAATTGAAATTCAACAAATTCACATAACACTTATCTTTAATTAGATCTAATAAAGATATTTGGTATAATCTTATGTTCTGTGAAATCATAAAGGAAACATAACGATACATAGAGGAGTGAAGATAAATATTTTGTTTGAATACATCATAAAACATTAATAATCTTCTAAAAAGTTTATTTTTCTTCTGAATTATCGTAGTTCGACAAGAAGTTTTGAATTTCCTTTTTATTTGTCAAGAATAATACAAATCTAGAGGTTAGGCGTTGGCGCGCGAGATCGGAGGTTCTGGGGTCGACTCTAGCGTGCAGGATCGTGGATGCACACTGCTGAAGAGTCCCATACTAGGACGAAACGGTCGTTCATTGCTTCCAGGTTTTCCATAGTGGTCTAGCTTTAATCGACTCATAAATTCAACCATTAATTTACTACAATTTCCACAAACCTTCATTCTGGCGAAAAAATATCCAAACACATTAAAACACCATAATAAGTGTATCATTGATTAATTTGATCTATATAAATCAAAAAATAATCGATAATTCTAGTGTTCATTAGTTTTAATAACATTTTAGATAGACCTCTATTTAATGTGTATAGCTGGAAATGTCATGATCAACATCTAGAAGTGATTAAATGAAGATCATTTCATCATGCTTAATGTAAATTGACCGACTAGTATGTGAACCTCTCAGCTTCCGGAAGTGATATCGACTGAAATCACACAACAAAAATCAACGTCCTGATGTTTGTGAACACGCTTCATGAATATATATGTCAGTTAGTTTGAAACTTGTATTTAGGAGGGTAGTTTTGAGACTTATTTTCATTTACCCAGAATGAATATGCAAAAGAAACGGTTTTTGCTTAAAGCATATCTGATTATGATGTTACATATAAATATATACTTAGTCATTTAGCTTGACAAACATTAGAAATAATGAGTAACATTCTTCAGAGTACACTATATTTGGCTTTTTAAAAACATATCCAATTATTTTAAACTCAAAAAGCACTATTTTAGATATAGAATCTAAAAAGATCCTTAAACTATGAGATTTTATTACAGTAACTTTTCACTGTCAAAGCTCTACAATTCCGGACTTCTTAGCAGTACTTTAGAAAATGTTAGAAATTCAAGTTTAAGAAACAAGATAACAAAGGTGCTTATCAATACTGGTTATTATCTTCGAGTTGTATATGTGATGAATAGAAACTTTCAAAAGTTACTGTTTATTTTCGTCCTCTTCAAAACTGAAGCCTATTTCATCCAATAAAGAAAAATGTAAACGAACACAATACTGCTGATGTTTCAGTTAAACATAATTTAAATTCGGAATGTTGCAAATCACCTAGTCTATTACAATCACGCTTAACCTCTTACTTTAAACCTTTTTTTCAAAGTTTCCAAGCCATTTTTCGACTACATTTCACTTTTACGTTAATTCTGTCAAAGTGATCATCCTTTATAATAACAAACATTTCTCATCTAACATTAAATATGTTTTTGTGATAGCTCGATGAGTAGAAAGTTGTATTACTAACGTTTCGTGAAATAACGTAAGTCATTTCATCAGAGTTAGTTGATGACCGAAATAAAATTAACACAAGTTTAGATAGTAATTTTGATTTTCGATTCAAGTTCTGTAGCAATTACAATTTTCGTCTCTAGGGAAATCTAACACAAATGGCATTAATTTTACGATCATGAACTGTTATCATCTAGAAAATCACTATAAACCAAGTACCATCTAAAAGTTGTTTTGTTGTAGTTTAAGACTATTGATTAATGCGCTTATAAACCTCCCACATCGCAACTAAAACTTATGGATTTTATTTTTTGGAACTTAAAATCATTGACAAAATGAGTTGAAATCCAGAGGTCTCTATTTTAAAATTCATTCATTTCTTAAATATGGTGCAAATATCATCCGATACCATTCAAGGCCTTACGGATAAGATTACTAGAGAAGTAACATTTCTACTGATCTAATGGGTTTGTATTACACTCCTTCAAATCAAGCCAATAATAAAATTGAAAATGGTCAGTTTGAAAAAAAAGTATATCAAATCAATGATACCAATTTATTCAGTTAAGTATATTATTTTCGTTCTTAAATAAGATGTAAGTATATTTTACTATGCTCGATTAAGTATTAACTCAGCCTGGAGTTCTTTTAGGGTTATTGCCATTACTGAATCTGAGCAATAATATAAGAGGGTTGGGGATGGAGCTAAAAAGCTTACCCATTGAGCAATGCAAGAAAGTAAAGTTTATTTATTTACTAATTTTTTTTGGTTTTCAACTTGAATAGTCACGATAATTCTATATAGAAAAAAAATATTAATCAATTGTTACTATGACTTATTTATTGAAGTGATTTAAACAATAAAAAAAATGAATTAAGTATAACTGGTTCTTGATAAAAATCGGATCAGATAAATTTTTTAAAAATAAAAAAAAATATTTATTGATTTTAATAAAAAAAAACATTAATCAAAATGTTTTCCAGATGAAAAACCATATTAACTAAGGAAACAAATGGCAATATCAATATAGAGAATCATGATTATTTCATATCAATTGAAGGGATCTTTTAGGATAAATCTAGTAAATTTCTATCATTATCAACATTTATTTTGATTAATTAATCATGCAATATAAAAGAGAAAATAATTAAATGATTAATATTTGAATGAAGAATATACTTTTCAAGAAATTCTATTCACATTCTACAATTATATATATATATTCAAATTAATAATTCGATAAATGGTCAAGTTAGGGGTGAAATATATCGTTTAAAGCATGTGAATTTAGGATTGTGATAAAAAAAGTACAATAAAATTGCTGAGGTTGACAAGACTCATATAGAATGTTAATTTGAATCTGCATATATATTA